TGGGCTGAGTCCTGCCAGGCATCACCTGTGAGTGATTACAGCCAGCCAACCAACTACTAGATTCAGCTCTGAGCATTGCCACCTCCAAGCTCTGCCATGGAAAGGGACCTCACAAATAATTCATGTTCTTCCTAACTTAGAAAGTATTCACCCCTGTGGGTTGTGAAGGAGGGAAGAAACGGGCTCTCACAAATTTTGCCCACTTTTTAATCTACCATTCTGCATGGGTGAGCCGAGGAGTGTAACTGCCTTAGGTCCGTTACAATATCAGTCTTGGCTTTAGAAAAAAAGTGTGGCAAATATTGACAGACAGACTGATTCATTCCATCTGCAGAGCACCCACCATGTGCTGGACACCATACAAAGGGTATGACAATTAAAAACAAAGTATCTTGAAAGTAATAATAATAATGAATGTAAACTCTAATTTTACAAAATTAAAACCAAAACAAAAATCAAAGAATCTCTGCCATGAAAACACATAGGAACTGTACCTAATCTAGAACAGAGATGAACGGGGGTTCAGAGATGGGTTCACAATAGATAATATCTGAGTTAAGTCTTGAAAACTTAATAGGGACAAAGCAGAAAACTGTCTCATCTCAACTGGGGCTGATCTTTGTATACACCCACCATCCTGAGATGCAGCCAGACACTTTACCTGTCAGGAGAAATGTTTGCCTTGCTGTTTGTGCCTTGTAGGATCTTCTCTGCTCAGCTAAATGAGTAACATAAACAAGGACAGGACAACAGGGATGATCCTGCTGCAAAAGACTCACATCCATGTGGCCAGGCAGAGGGCCAATGCTAATCACGGCCTCCAGCACCTGCATACCCTCAGCTGGGGGGCTCAGCTCTCAAAGGGAAATTCCCATACAGGCTGTCAGCACCTTGCTGTCTGCCTTGGGACAAGGCTATCTAGGAACTCGCCTGAATGTTTCCCACATGCTGCAAGGCCGACTTCTCGACATCGGCATAGTTTTCTGATACTGTAGTCCCAACTGTAGCACAAAAGAATCCTTCAGAACCTGGGCTAGGAGGTGGGCTGAAATTCAAACACCTCCTCAAGTTAAAAGGAGGCACCTGTGTGACGCTCAGAGACATATGGGGAGAGGAGGGTCTCCTGTTGAACAATGGCTACCTTTAAGGCCGTCTTCATGAACAGGCTACCTATACAGTCCCAAAGGGCCCTGTGCTCAGAAGGGCCCCCATGCTTGTCTCAATGCTCTGCTGTCACCTTCATGAGATTATTAACAATTTTTTTAAGGAGGAAGCACTAACACATTTTCATTTCGCACTGGGAAACACAAATTATATAGTCTGTCCTAGCTACTTTTCCCACCAAAGAGGGTCGAGGGAGCCCAGTCAACATCCTGGAGTTCTACAGGAACGCTTGAAATGGAACAGTGGGTTATAAAATAGAGAAAATAAAAGTAAAAGTGCAATTTTATATTCTGTAAAGAAATCCGGATTGTTTGCTTACCCAAGGGCCCATCATTCAAGCCATTATGAAGTTTGCTACGCTGAAGTACCCATTGTATTTCATTGCTCTATGGGCCTTACACAGCCCTTTCCTGTGTCTTTAGCCTGGAGGAGCAGCCCCAAAGAGACACAATTCAGTAGAACCACATAAAAATGTATCACACAGTGGTCAAAGCCACAGCATCAAACCACTTCCTCTGTACCGACTTTCACCCCATATCCTAAATGGCGGGATATCACTGTCATCTTGTGTTTGTCTTTCGCTTTGCAATTTCAACCTACCATTCAGTTCCTTCTCGGTCACAATTTGAGTTCACCTTGTGGTGATGCTATCAGTTTTTCTTGGAAATATTTTTTTTGTATCACCAGAGCCTTGATTGTCATCAGAATTGGCTACATAATTTGTGGGGCCCAGTGCAAATATGAAAATACAGTCCCTGTGTTCAAAACTTAGTAGGAATTTCAAGGCAGCATCAGCAACAGCATTAAGCCACGTGTAAGAGCCCTTCTAAGTGTGGAGCTCGTGTGACTGCAGAGGTCGACCATCCATGAAGTGAGCCTCGAGTCTTTCTGGCCACAGTTGGGTCATGGACCCGTTCCTTAACCAACTGCGGTTAAGTCGTCGCTTAATCTGTCTGGTCAGTGTTACTCACTGACTAGATTAGCCTTAGACTAAGAACAGCTCCCCTGGAGTCTGGCATACGTTCATCTTCCCCTGAGCTGCATGGTATCTGGTGGAAGGATTTGTGAGTAAATCTGGGCTTCTTTTGGGTAGAGGTGAGGAGGGTGCGCCGAGTAGAAACAACAGTACTTACCTACACCATGAATCCCTGATGCCCCACAACATCACACATCCTTGAAAGGAGGGGTCCTTCAAAAGCTCCCTTTGATGTGACCTTAGGTTCCTGAGAGCCTTGAAGAGTTATTCAAATCCTTCCTACTACAATCTGCCTATTCTGAATTCCCAGACTCTCATGCCCTTCAAACCTCCCACTGCCACCCTGCCCTACAGGTATATGCTGGCGTGAGAAGACATGATTCCTGTCCTCCCGATGGCCATCATCTAATTAAGGAGCCACAACTAAATGGACTGAAACCGTCACAAAAACTCAAATAACAGGAAAATACCACTAATTAACATCCACGTGTCAGAGATGACAGTTTGTAAAAGTATTCAATTAGCAAGCACTGGATAGAATCCTCAACAGGAGTTGAGGAGGAAACAGATTTTTGAATGGGGGAAGGGGTCCGTGTTGGGTGGTATGAAATTTTGGAGCAGAAGGCAGAGCTTCAGAATCCATAGTGGCAGAATTCTCTACAGTGGGTTTTGATAGCAAATTTAATTCTTTTCAAGAGTCAAACATGTTTGTTTGGCTAGTGCAGACTGCACAAGACACTTGAAAATGTCAGTGATGAAAGGAAAAAATCATTTTAGGAAATTATATCCAATCCAAAAGGCAACAATAGAGCTTCTAAAGATATATGATGAATTCATTATGATTTATCACACCTAGATGAAAATGAAGGCCTTGGCTTCTGTTATTTCTTTCAAAACAGTCACTCTTTCTTCATCTGACCAAAATCCTGTTCAGTCTTTAGGACCAAGCTCCAGCCGTATCTCTGCCAAGAAGTCTTCCTTGAACCTTTCTTGAACCTTCCTCACTCTGCAGTACCTCTCATCCCAGCAGAAGGAGGCTTAAGAAAGGGACTGCTCCTCCTTCATGATCTCAGTGCGCCTTGGAATCCTGCACTGGAATGATCTATTGCTGTGTCTCTCACTTGCTGGGCTGTGAACTCCTTGATGCCAGGAAGTCTGCCTTATTTCTTTTCATAACCTCTGTGCCTTGATACCTCGATCGAGTTATCATGTATCAACATGTAATAAGTACTCAGGAATGCTTATTGAAAGTGATAAGATGAGGCTTTGCAGAGGAGCAATAACCTTTGATCATCTGGGTCAGTAATAGCAAAAGAATGCTCAGAACAAATGAGAGTAATATGTATAAAAACTGGCTATGTCTATACTACCTGATGGATGACCTGAAGGGGGCATTGGATTGAATGTGGGTGAATATGAGAAGGCTGTCACCTGAGGATTCCTCTCCTCGCTCTCTGGAACACTATATTATAGAGCCTCTGAGTCCACTCTCAGTGATAATTAGACATACAGTGAATGGATTTGGTACTCAAGCTTTTGAAACCTTCTCCCAGCCTTTCATTTTTCATCTTTCTCAGTTTCTTTATCCGAGCCTTTTCTTAGAGGCTTTGGTTCCTATTATTTGAATGTTTATTATTCTGTGCTTTAAAAATCTTTTTTCTTAAGTTTTTAAAAAAATTATTGATTGATTTTGGGGGAGAGAGAGAGAGAGAGAGATCAATGTGATAGAGAAAGAGTGAAGAGAAGAGTGGTTGCCACCCGTACATGTTCTACCTGGGGATCAACCCCGCATGTGCCTTGACCAGGGATGGAACCAGCAACCTTTCAGTGAACAAAACAACTTCCAACCAACTGAGCCACACAGCCAAGGTTGTACTTGGAAAATCCTTGAAATTCATAGTTGAATAAACTATGAAAGGTATGAAATACAGTCAATAAATATTTATTGGGTACCTGTGGTCCTCAATCCAGGCATGAGTGAAATTAGGTAAGGTGAGAAATTACTTCCAGTTTCTGTATGGCATGATTTGTAAATAGGCACAGCATTCTATGAGTGGATGATATAGAATCCCAATCCACTCATATCTCCAAATCACTACTGAACTAGCAAAGGCAAGGACTCAGAGAGATAGCTGGGAGGCGGCTTCTTCAGTGATGTTTAAAAAGTGTTTTCACAGGATAGTAGCAAAGTCAAGGGTTTTCTGGATCCTCCTTCACACTTAATTTTGCCCTTTGGTTTTCTTCTTCATGCTAACTTTTGTTGACCTGTGTGTGTGTGTGTGTGAGCACATGCATGTGTGAGCTCACACATGTTATCACCTAAAAAGTATAACTCTTGAAAAGAAATGGCAATGTGAAGGGAGCTGCATAGTAATAAAGTCTCTGACTTTCCCTGCTTTGTTTAGTTGGATTTTCTAATAGTGAGACTTTCTCATTAACTTCTGCTCTCCTGCCAAACTTAAAACCAGTAAATGATTTCTGAATTCCAACCTCATTAGAAAATAACTTACCTTAGTTGCAACTGGACAGTAGTTGCAGTTTCTATACTAATTTGAATGTTCTGGGTGAGTGCTTGGTGGTAGTCATGGAAAAAATCCAAGTACTTGGAAAATATGAGAAAAAGCAGGATTCTAAATCTAGAGCCTTTGAGTTACATTAACAATATAAGATGCGACTGCCATATTAGGAGCCAGGCAATAACACATTTAGGTATGAATATATAATATGTGCAAATTATAATAACTCTAAATATGTTTTTCATATTTGAAAAACTCAAACATACTGTTCATATGCTCAAATTCTCAGCATAAATTTACTTGATTCTATCTGATTACAAATTAAAAAATAATTTAACACATACTTTGAATTTCAATGATCTTCTGTAAAGAAATAACGGCATTCATGTTCGGGGTTTGGTGGAGAGTATCTTCTGCAAGTGGCTCCAGCTGCAAGAATAACAGGTAATAACGTCAGCAGAATACTATGACTTTACAGTAAGTCTGACAGAAGCAAAGAAAATGGAAACAACCTTAAAAAAAAACAAACCTTGCTCCAAGAACTAGTTAACATTTTGCTGATTTCAGTTCTAAAAATGTAGCCAGTTTTATTTTCTCTTTTGCAGGCTTATAACTGAATTCCAAAAGGCTTTTCTATTGGTCACCAGACTAATCTACGAAGTCCCTGAAGCAGGTGCATGTCTGTGTATTATTCATTAAAAATTGGAGTTATTTGTGTAATTTTTGTAGGTTCCTCACAAACCAAATTCCATCACGTCTGTACATGCAGGTGGGCTCTGCAAAGGAAACCTCGGGGAAGGGGTGGTAGACAGACAGGGGGCAGTCTATTACCCACATTCTGTGGTGTTTTTCCATCTAAGCACCTTGTACTCTGGGGCACTTCACAGTAGGAAACGGTGAGACACAGCTGCCCTTATTCAAATGCTAGGGAATACTCGTAAAGTGGTAGAGTAAATGTTCAAATAAAACCCAATGTAAAATAACTACATTTTAGCTTCCCCCGGACAAATTCCTTTCTTGCAAATCTATCATGATCTTCTGGAATTACACTGGTTTTTCACAGAGAAGCTCAGCATGCAGCAGTTTGCAAGAAATGAAGAGGAGCTTTAAACAATTTGTGGGCTGCTTTGGCAGAACTAATTCTGATGATGCATCCTTGGGAAAGAATACCTTTGTGAAGTGGCTTGGTGTGCCGTGGCAGAAACTGCACATCAGAGTGCTTACAAACAGAATAGCCGTCTAGCTACAGGGACCCAGAAAGCGAGGAAAGTAATAGTAATGAAGGGATTAACAAAAAATGTTTTCTTAGAACATTTAAAGGTAGTAGTCTCAAATACAAAGGGATGGTCAAACCATCACGTGGCATGAACAGGAAGCAACACCATTAGACGTGGTACTGAAGTGGGAACTCACTATGTCCCTTGGTCTGTTGAAAAAATGAAAACACTCAGGGATTCCAAGTTTCCAAAGCATCTGTGAGTGAATCTTCCCCCCGGGGTCTTTCTGAATTGATTATTCTATACTTCACTCACGGCATCTAAGACAATAGCACCTTTCTTCCAGATGCCATAGGATAACAGACTAGCTCAGGGATATTTATACAGGGGTAAATTCTCTAAATATAACTTTCCAGAGTGTTTTTCTTAGTTGACAAAGAAAAACCTTTACAACATCAAAAGGTTTATTTGCAATACAGTTTGAGGACAGGAAAAGAAAACAGCACAGTGTTCAGTGAAAGGGTCTGCGATCTTAAAACCTTAAAACTTGTTAAAATCATTTTTAAAAAACCTGGTATTTCAGACAGTGCCTTTAAGAATATGTTACCCTCATAACAACCTCTTAACTCAGAGAAACTACTGAATCACGATGGCAGGTTACTTGGAAAACTCTTACTCAAGACTTAGGCAGGGTTGAGCTACCTTCCACATAAATAATCTTTCCTTTCACTTCTGTCCCAGATCGCAGAGAATATTTTTAATAGAAATCAGGTGGGTTTTATTAATAAAATATTTTGAAACATCACTTGATGTTCAAATATTGAAGAATAAAACCACAAGGTGCTATCAGCATACTTAGTAGTTCTTCACAAAACTTTCCCGTGATTTGAGGGTAAAAGGCTGACAAATTCAAAGATGCTGGATACTAGAAAGAAAGTTACAGAGAGATCATTAACGTAAAAACCTCACTGCTGGAACTCTTTCACTAAAATCTGTGGTCTATTTATAAGACTTGAGTTATGTAGACAGTAAACGTGATTCAGGGTGTTGAGAGTAAAAATACAAACAACCCTAAACCTCCAATTTGGAATCATCAGTTAGATTCGATAAAGTTGTGTCTACTTATAAAAGCAACCTAGAGAATTAAGGCAATTACATTGATAATTTGTCTCCCAAACCATTTCCCAGCATGTTTTAGGTAAATGTCATTTAGAGGATTTAACCTTCAGTAAATTGCCCCAATCTGTTTCATTTTGAGGGTATACACACAGACAGAGCTGAATTCAGAAAATTCTCAATGTAGGTTCTTTATTTTTTCTTGGGTAGCTCTGGAGAGAAAGTGAAGGGGTAATATCTCAGTTGGCAAGAGGGTGAGCAGCATTTAGAGTCAGTCTGCTTTCAGAAATTAAAACCTTTACAGAGGGACCACAGAATTCAGTTGTCTTTTCAAGAGTTTGTCGATTTAATCATTCACAATTATAAGCACTAAAAACATCTGATTGAAGCATCTATTTACATATATGTAATAAGCATATGAGTATTGGTCATTATTAGTAATCTAATAACTAACTGTAATGAAATAATATTAAATAGTCTTTTTATAAATTTGGAGCAAAAATAAGAATATTCAATAAAACTGGGTTATGTATTTAGTTTGGCCAATAAAATATAGCAAAAAATTGTTTACTGAGGCTGATCAATGTCATAACAGTTTGTTGAGCAATTCCATCATGCAATAATAATCACCGTGGAGTTGGAAGACACACGATATAATTTTAAGAGAATATCTTGACATATAAACTGCTTATTCAGCTTTATTGTATCTAAAGCTTAATTTTTAACCATTAGTTACAACAATTCCTTATATAAATTTTTGGGCTGTGTCAGGAAAATTTATTTTTCTACATCTTTTACAGAAAGTTGCAATAACTTATTGATCAACCTCGGATGTTTGTAAAGTTGCACATACCATGTAATTTCTAAGTATTACAGCTATTTAAAAACACCATAAAATGTGGTCATTACCATGTTGTGAATAAGTAATTTTCAGATTATTTAGAGTCAGATTATTTAAATCATCAAAATCATTTTAATTGGCTACGAAGCATTTAGGGAAATAGGCAGGTGATAACCTTGGAGAAGCTCTTGAGTAAGAGTTTTAAAACTTACAGTACTTCTGAGACATTAAAATCAACTCTATTATTTTCATGACTCAGAACAGAACAAAAAAGAAGATAAACAGAGATTTTGTAAATATAATAGGTACATAATAGAAGTATACATCAACCATGTGAAAGATCTACTAACTACTCTTGTTAGCTTTTATATTGTTTCCCAAATATGCTAAGTACTTTTACATTTCTATACCTTCATTTATTCTGTTCCTTCTGATTTCTATTTTTCCATCCTTCTTTGAATTTGTGATACCTTACTACATCATTCAAGGACTAGCACAAATATTGCCTGCTCTGTAAAATCTTTCCTAAAATTCTTTGTGGAGCAAATTGCTTCCACCTGTCTCAGATACTCTTGTTTACTCTACTAAACACGTTATATTGTAGTCAGCCAGGTCTGCCATTCTCTACTTCCCTGTGTGCCATTCAAAGGCAATGACAGAGCCTGGTATACAACAGGCATTTTTCTTTTAATGTTGAATGAAGGAAGGATTAATTGAAAGAAAAGATGAAGAGGTAGCCTTTATTCTGTGCTCTGTAGCTAACAGATTTAAATGGAGTAGGTTCTTCCTCTTGGTTGCCTGTTATAATCAGGGCATGGTTTTAGGGTGAAAGACTAGGAAGAATGACAGTGATAATTTATTTTTAAATCAATATAATTGGTGCTCTTATTTTTCTTCAGAATGTATAAGTTTTTCACATTTTACTAAATCAATATAGTTGATTTTTAATTAACATTTTTATTTTTAAGTTTTAATTGATTTTTAAATTGCCCATCAATTGTATTAAGCTTATTAATTTTAATGTATTTGCAAATAATTTTATATGGATTTTCTACAAATGCAATATATAATCTGTGAATAGTAAGAGATTTATTGAATTCTTCACCAATCTTCATGTTTTTTATTTCTTTTTCTTGCCCTATTGCACTGTTAGGACAACCAGTGTAATGTGAACTGAAGCAGTAAGAGTGAGCACCTTTGTACTGTTTTGATTTCAATGAAAAATCCTTATATTTCACCTTTAAATCTGATGCACCCTATATAATTATAGACAGACTTTATCAAGCTAATAAATTTTCCTATTTTTCTTAGTTTTCCAAAAATAACTCATCATAATTGGGTGTTCAATACACCAACTGATGTTTAAATATCTACTGAAATGGTTTTATTTCTTCTTGATTCTGTTAATGTGGTGAATTATACTGACTTAACTCACAAGGTTAATGTGTTACATTCTTTTCTAAACCCAAATTTGTTAATGGGCTTTTAAGATACTGATAAACTGCTATTACTTTGTTTAAGGTTTTAACTTCTATGCTTATGACCAAGATTTTCCTGTTATAATGTGTGTGGGTGTTTTTTAAGTGTTAGATATCAGTATTACACTGGTCTGGAAAAAATCCATTGTAAATTGTTTTCCTCCCTCCCCTTTACCCTAAAACAGTGTAAGATTGGTTATTTTTTATTCCTTAAATTAATGGTAGAATTCCCTGGTGAAACTGTATGGGGGTCTGGTGTTTTCTCTTGATACATTAGAGGGCTGTCATGGAACATGTATAAAGGACAGGCACGTGGACAAAGCCAAAAGGGCTATGATCGAGGGTGGGAGGTGGGGATGGCTGGGGTCAGGGGGGAGTGGAAGGGGGAAAATGGAGACAAGTGTACTTGAACAACATTAAAAATAATATTAAGAAAACAAAGACAAAAGAGATTCAATTTGGTTTATAACTATAGTACCATTCAAGTTTTCTGATTTAGTTTTGCCAGATTGTATTTTTCTAACAATTTTTCCCTTTCAAATAAAATTACAAAATATTTTACATACATTTGTTTTTAAAATATTTCTTGTAATCCTTTTAACACTAAAACCCGTAGTGAAGTGCTCTTTTTCATTCTGAGTGCTGACTATGCATGACTTTTCTTTGTTGACCAGTCTTGCCAGATAGAGTTCTATTAATTTTTCAGTCCATGAACATGAGATGTCTTTTTATTAATTTGTGTTATGTAAAATTGATTCTAATTACATTTTACTGTGG